AGAGAGAGAGAGAGATAGATATGAGCTTTCCTTTTGAGAATCCAAATTTAAAAGCTCAAATAGATATATGCTTTATTTAGATTTTATTCATATACAATAAAAACAACAACAATAGTATCACAATCCCGAAGTCCAAACTATTGAAATTATACATATGAATTCTCAAAGTGCGTCTAACTTTATGTATGAAATTATACATGTGTTTGGTAGGAAGGAAAATATTTTTGAAAAATAGTATATTTTTCAAAAGAAATTTTGCAGAACTTTATTTTACTATCGAATAGTCTCTAACATTCAGAAATTATTTCAAATTGACTAACAGAGAATAACACAGAAGAAGAAAGTTATTTTTTTCATTTTTAATGAAAATATTTTTTCAAGAAAAATAGTTTTTATTTTTTAGTAATCAGAAAATTACTTAATATTTTTTTAAAAAAAATTCCTTCTTACCAAACACACCCGTAACGACCCTTGACAACATGTTCAATTATTTGGCAGATCCAATTGCTAGTTGGTCAATTAGCTGTTGCTCAAAAACTGTCATGTCTTTCTCCTTTAAATGCACCCATGCATCTATTCCATCACTATCTCTTGAATCCATCAGTAGAATAAAATTCTTGACTGGCAGGTTGATTGAACTAACCCATAAAGGTTTGTCCCAACCAAAATCAACATCATAAAATTTGTAGCCACACCAACTATTAATATACAACTCTATCTCCCCTTTAAAAAATGCAAGTGCTAGTTCCAAGCTATCTTGAGGAATGGCCAAAATTGCCTCATCTTGTCTCGATTCATCCACATATTTGGAACTCAAATCTGAAATTCCTTTTCTAATACAAGAAACAAGGGTGGATAAATCACAACCATCGTTCTCACCTTTGTATGCGGTGGTCATTGCAACAACGTTTCCCACACAGTGATTAGGCAAGGGGGGGACAAGCCGCTTTCGTATATTGACGTTGTACAACAAGCGCGACGATGTTCCTGTTTTTGTTGATGTTGTCATGAAACATTTCCACGTCACAGCGAACACGACTTCGACACGTGTGGGCTTTGATACAGCGTCGCTCACGACGTTAGCCTTGAGCGACGCTATAGTAGATGCATCAAAGGAAAAAATTTTAGTTACATGTTGATTATCAAAAGAAGCTTGGAATAATTCAACTATATTAGACAAGCTGGGAGAAACATGAGGAATAGGTTCTGGTAAGAATGTTGAAGCAGCAACAAATTCTGGAATGTCCACACATGAATTACTAGCTGGGTTGCCACGCGCAATGACTGCCCATGCATCGATGAGGGTGTACAACGTGGCACCATCGATAATTTTGTGAGAAGCACATACACCAATAGCCATACCTGTTGAACATATAATTAATTAAATAGGACATAAGGATTATGTTGTATACATTGATATTGTAATTATTTTTCTACCCTATAAATAAATTTTAACCTTTGATAGAAGGCTAGTTACTATTTTTATTTCATTACTACTTTATGTTTATCAATAGATTTTTCACTATTAATGCATAGTAGAACTTAAACTCTAAATAAAAATGTGTTCCTCTTCACAACTTCAGTTTTTAGATGAGATAGTAACACAACTCAACATGGTACGAAGTAGGCAAAGGTCTTGGTTTCATGTCTCATCACCACCCACTATAAAATGATTTCTAGGCACGTGCTTGGTCAACAAAAAAAAAAATTAGATATGTACGTAATTAGAAACGTGTTTTAAATATAATTAAGTAAATAAAATTATGCTCTCTCTGGCAGATAAACTTTTAGATAAGATGGTCACACGGTTTATTCAATAATACCTCCACATTCGAAAAGGGTGACTTGAACAACTAGTGGAAAAGTTGCATGATGGAAGTACGACCACTTTTGATCAACATGGGGAAGAAAATGTACATCCATAACGGGCTTTCTAAGAACGTCTTCCAACCGATATTTATGGGCAAAAGCCTCGAAGAAGGGTACACCATCGTCATTACATTCAATTGAGTTCTCTTCAATTCGTCCTGCAAAAGGGTAAAAGCGAGCAAGAGTTTCACTCAAACATTTCTTCAAAACAAGTAATCTTGATGAATTGATTGCCCTTGATTGCTCATATGAATAGGATTGATCATCACCATATGAAGATGGAGATGGATAAAATAGAGCTAAAGGAACAGAAGAGGGAAATGCCATTTGATCCAAAAGAGAGAATTTGAAGCATCTTAAGTGATTGGGAGTGGGAGTAATAGGTCTAATGAGTTCCATGTGAACTATCTCAATCTTTCTACTTTGCATTCTCTCTAACTTACAGTTTTCTAGCTAGCTAATTTGTCTTAAACTGTTTGTGATTATGCAACCATTATGTTTGATCTATTTATAATATAGTAATGTTATCTACTATACGTTTCGACCGTCACCTAGAATCAAGATGTAGGGATAGCATGTGGAATTTTAGCTGTTACTTTAAATACATAGAGCACATTATAGCATTTGGCATCAGTTGTACGAACAAAATTAGTAATGCCAACCCTATATATTTAATATGACGTCTCTCTTTTTTTTCTAGGTTTAATGACGGGAATAGTCGTCTCCAATTCAAAATAAGTTTTTTTCTTTTCTTATTTTGTATGTATAAAATAAAAGGCAACCATAGTGTGAGAAGAGATAAAATCTAACGAAGAAATGCACATTGATCCTAACTATATAAATCATTTTGCTTCAAGCTATAAAAATCTGTGGCAATAAGTGACTTAATAATTACAAACTTGTTCATATAATTCAATTTTGTAGCTAATAGAAGGTTTTTGCCACGTGTTTGAAACTATTTTAGCAATACTAACTTTCCAGCCACAAAAAGTTATTTGAAATAAAATATTATAACTAAATGAATATTTTTGCTTCAATTATAATAAATTGTAGTACAAATTTATTTTGAGATTAAAATTCATAGCTAAATATAAGCTCTCATCACGCATTTGAAGTTTTTGTAGTAATATTTATCTATAATAAATAATTCAAAACAAATGTTGAACCAATTTTCTTTTTATTCAAGCTATAAAAAATCGAAGCAATAATTGGATTAATAGTTACAAGTATATATTATGATAACTTGATATAGCCACAAATCGAGAGACGATAAACTTCCGTAGCTAAGTTATAACTTTTTTGTCTTGCACATAAAATTACCATATCAATCGTATTATTATGAACCCCAATAAATTATTCGAAACAAAAACTCATAGTTAAATAAATATTTTTTCTTTGTTTAAAAAAATTATTACTAGAGTTTGTCCAAAAAAGAGAAATTTTATGAAAAATGAATTTTAAATATAAAAGTTAGATTTCTCCTAAAATATAGAAAATTTAGTAATTGTATATAAGTTAAATAAATTAATTCTCAACTAACAAAGATTAAGGTACAAAGAATAATCTTCAATAATAGATCATTTGCATAATTACTTATGGCCTCAAAGCTTAACAATTGACCTTTTGAGCTTATCAAGCTCATACTTTATTTTGTTGTTCTTTTTTAATATTAACTATATAAATTTGTATGTAAATTCAAATTCTTATCGTCATAGAGACATTTATATATTTTTTACCCTTTATTATTTTTAAATAAGTTTTTAGAATAACTTTGTATATCTAAGCACTTATTTTAAAATAAGTACTCATATAGTGAAGACTTTGATAGTTTGTAGAGATATTTATATATGTGAGGTCCTTAATTATTTAAAATAAATATTTAGAGTAATTTTATATACTTTTACTCATTTTCAAAATAATTACTTGTTTATTAAGAACTAATAAGTACTCATATAGTGAAGACTTTGATAGTTTGTAGAGATATTTCTATATGTGAGGTCCTTAATTATGTAAAATAAATATTTAGAGTAATATACTTTTACTCATTTTCAAAATAATTACTCGTATATTAAGAACTTTGTGATAATTTTGGTGCATTTAATTTTGACAAATGACCAAAGGTATCAAGTACACATAAAGAACATACTAACACTATAAACAGAAAAGGAAAATCCAATTTTAGCGACAGATGAAATTATGTCACCATGAAATATTGATAGATATAGGGTCACTAAAATAACAACAAAAAATATTAAAAATAGTTAATATATTTTGACAAAAATAAAATCGGTCGCTACTTTCCGCTATGACATTTAACAAAAATCTCGTGGCTAACAATATAGAAACTAATCATATTAGTTTTTAAAATATTATGTTATTCTAATTATGTAATTTAAGAAAATAAGTTTTCTAATATATAATTACTCTAAGAATTAAGTATTTAATGTGGTTGATATTCAAGTCCATAAAAAATAATAATTATATTATAAGTCCTATTAATTAAGTATTACCTATAACTATAAGTTCCAATTATAATTAAAATAAAAATTTAATTATGTCTAATTAATGTGTAAATAATTAATTATATAGAATTTAAATAACTAT